CTATATGACCTTCGCACAAAATTTTTTGTTCGGCTGCACGAATTTGAACTTTATTTAATTAAATTTGATTTTAGAACGAAGAAAAATTCGGGAGTAATCTCAAAAACGAGAGATATCGATATGGTTAGAAAGAATAAATTTTGTTCAAAATTACATCTAAATATTTGTAAGTATTGTTAGGATAATATATAACGTAAGTTAAACGGACATGGTAGTTAGAGCCCTTTTTTCCTTTGTTTAAAACAATTAGTGTTAAAATCAATTTGAACTAAAATTCAATTCAATCAAAATTTCGGCTTTTTTCCCCTAATTTTACAATTCCGCTTGAAATCCCGCCGGCCTGGTGTCCGGCATCTTATCATATGATGCAGACACAGCTCTGAAAAAATATCGACATAAAAGAAAGAACGACATAACTTCATCAAAAGACGGACTTAGTCCGAACAATCAGATGTTTCGCAAGGAAAAAAATATACAAAAAGGTCCCTCTGTAAATTGTCCATATGTCCACAAAATGTGTATTTTGATAGTCTTCAATATTCTGACAGGCTGTTATTTGATAGCGCTTTTTCTATCTACACAGAACAAAAAATGAACAAGGACAGCGGTGACTGAGCAAGTAGCACATAATGTTCCGAACATAGTCGTAAGAAAACACACAAAAAAAATTCTTTTAAACAATTTTTTTTCTGTGTGAAGTGATAAAAGAATGGCAGTCAGAGTTAAAAAGGGAAATTGGACAACACTTAAGAAAAACAAAACAAATCATTAAATAATGCAAAAATTATTTCAAAAATTGTTGACTCCCAATATGGCAAAAAAAATCCAGAAACTTTCTATAGTCGAGTAAAACTAAATCGTGGCTGAAAATAAGCTTATACGAAGTTCTGTTGTAAGCCTGCTCGCTTGCTTTATTTGCTCGAATTTAGACTCTATTTTCAACCTGTTTTTCTCGATACTGGTACAATGTTTTGAATCTTTTTTATTGTTGTTCGAAATGCGACAGATAGGGCTTTATTATGATTAATCCCTCAATAGATTTCGAACATTATTTGCGGTACCTGATTTGAACCACCGGTTCGATTGCTTGCTTCTTTTTCGTGCTCCCAATTTGTTCGGCATTGCTTCTTTTGTTGTCAATAGCTTTTTTTCAGTACTTTGGTTTAGTTGAAACAGAGGTTGGTTTTTTGGTTTCGGCTCATCCTGGGTAGGACGGCAAACCCCCAATTCCAGTTTTGGGTTCGTCTCTTGTGCCAGAGTCTTCACTAGTTGTCCGGGGCGATAACTTGCTGGTGCATGCGGTTGTAAATTGGTTGTTTTCCGCACGATGTGAAGAACCTCATTCCGTGAGGTGACCTGGTCATCATATGCCATGCTGTTAGCTGAGGTTTAAGAACGCAGCGGTTTTGATGGGGTTTTCACATTAAAAATCAATTGTGATGTCTGTTCACATGTTCAGTATCGTGAGGCACAGTTTCGATAGAGGGTATCAAATTGTCTTTGAGGATCTATTGTGCTCATGTAGGAGTTTAGACATGTACTATACACGAAACGCAGTTAAGATAGAATGAGTTTTGTGGCTCGTGATAGTTTGAGTTCATCTTCATTAATTTTTGTTGGAGGGATCCAGTGACTTTGATGTAGTTGCAATGGATATATCTTGACATATCAATCCGGTGAATATATTTCAGTGCTTTTTAGTATTCAGCCATGTTAATTTCTATGTTTTCATCCAGAAACAAGTCAATTTCATCGCCAAAGCGATTTTAGATTGTTGGGGGATCTGTCTGGACTCCCTCGTAAGTTTTGTTGTCTATGTGGACGGTGACTGCCAACAAGAAACTGCTTTGATAATATCTCATTGCGAGGATTTACTTCAAGCATTTCTGTTTCGTCATGTAGATCTTTGGTATCAGCCATTTTCACGATTCCAGTGATTGCTCTGAGAGCAATGTTTTGCTTCACCTGGAGATTATTCTAATTTGTGTTACTAATGACTGGAGTCCATATTGGTTCTCCGTAGTTAAGCACACTTCTCCCAACGGCCTATTAAGTGAGACTCAGTGTTTCTTTTGAGCAAACCCAATTAGTACCAGATAGCATTTTAAGGATGTTTCCCACATGTGTTGTGAGAAAATGAGTATGCTATCAAATGTGACCCCTAAAAGTTTTGGCTTGGTCTTCATGGGGATGTTTTGACACACTAATTAAAAGCTGTGGGTCAGAATTCACCTCTTTACTCCAAGTCGTAAGGATTGTCGATGAGGATTTCTCTGCAGACAGTGTAAGTAATACAAAGTACCTCAACAATTTCAAAGGTCGAAACACTTAAATTAACAATTGCTATTTGAACTTCACAAAAATCAAAACGCTTCCTGTTAAACGAATCAAACTTTTATTTAATTAAGTGTGATTTTAGAAGGAAAACATTCGGGAGTATCTCAAAATGAGAGATGCTCTACCATTTTAATGATTTCGGTATGATTAAAAAAAGACCAAACTTTGTCCAAAATTACTCCTAAATATTTGCAAGTTTTAAAAGCACTTTTTCATTTACTTAAAATAATTAAGGTTATCTTAACACAATTAAAGATCAATTTATTGGCATTCAGCAATGTTTCAAATTTATATAGGCCTACTTGATAGTCATGTCCGGTAAGGCGCAAGTACGTAAACGCTCTTCTACAAAAACAATTGTCTTATTGTTCCGACTTTCGATACGAAAGTAACGGAATATTTGTGCTCGGGGTGGGTTTTTTTCTTCAGACAAATTTCGACTTTTTAGCTAGGCACTTTTGGCGGATTTTTAAATATCATTCAAAAAGTATTGTTGTCCTGAGCTAAAATTTGAAAAGATATTTCACCTGTGATCATTTTTCGTTAAGTTATGGGGTTTTAAAGGTTGCCATTTTGACCAATTAGGGACAATTAACGCGCGATATATTTCGCGCTATTAACGCGTAAGCGGAGTTTTAATCCGTCTGAGAAATCTTTCCAAATTGGTTGAAAGAAGCCTATTTGCCATAATTGATGTGTTGCTAGGGGCGAAATCTATCACTTTGTCTTTTATATGGCATGTGGGGGTTGGCTTTCGCAAAAATCTTAAATTTAAAAAAATTATTATATTTTTTTTGTTTAATTTTTCAAGTTGTTACTGCTCCATAGACCTTAAAAGGCAGTCGGAAAAATCAGGGCCCCGCCCTGATACGAGCAGTCTTTTTGTTCCGACTTTCGTAACGAAAGTAACGGAATATTTGCGCTCGGGGTCGGTTTTTTTTCTTCAGACAAATTTCGACTTTTTAGCTAGCCACTTTTTGCGGATTTTGTAAATATCATTCGAAAGGCATTGTTTTCTGAGCTCAAATTTGAGAAGATATTTCTCCTGTGATTATTTTTCGTAAAGTTATGGGGGTTTAAACATTGCCATTTTGGCCAATTTGAGACAATTAACGCGCGATATATTTCGCGCTATGAACGCGTAAGCGTAGAGTTAATCCGTCTAAGAAATCGTTCCAAATTGGTTAAAAGAAGCTTATTTGCCATAATTGGTTTGTTATAAGGAGCGAAATCTATACTTTTATACTTTAAATGGCGTGTGGGGGGATAGTTTTCATAAAAAATTTCAAATTTTAGAATTTTTTTTTTTTCATTTTGTTTTATTTCATTGAAATTTTTTATGTTATTACTGCTCCATAAACCTTAAAAGGCAGTCGGGACATTCAGGGCTTCGCCCTGATACGAGCAGTCTTGTATCATTTTGTATCTTATTTCTTAAATCCCGAATGTTTAGGTTGTAGATTTTTCGTGACATTAACAACTCCACTAATTGTGCAGTTTGATAGGTACAGCGACAGACCGAGTGGCTCTTTAATCTGACACCTAAGTTCCTAAGCAGCACTCTCGACAGAAAATTGTACCTTGAATTCCATTTGAGCAATTTAAGCAACAAAAAAAAACGAAATCAACCCAAATTGTTGGGAGCAATTAATTGCAAAAATTGGAAATTAAACAAAATGATTCTAAAAAAAATTAAATTAAAAAAAATTAATTGCAAAAATTGGAAATTAAACAAAATGATTCCAAAAAAAATTAAATTAAAAAAAATTAATTGCAAAAATTGGAAATTAAACAAAATGATTCTAAAAAAAAGAACAATAAAAAACTCAGAACAATGTAATGGACCCCTACCTGAGCAACCAGCATTAATAACCATAACGGGTCAAATCAATTCAACTCCACTAGAAGCGCTCAGAACAGAAAACAACACAAAAAACTACAGAAAGCAAGCAATCAACTGATAGTCAAATCATACCAAAAAAATTTTCCAAGTTTCCACATAATTAGGCAATGCTTCAAAGCAATAGCCGAACAACGTCTACGAAGAAGTAACTGGTGCTAAAAAAAATTTCGGAACCTGCGATCGGCAATAGTCACTTCCTTTCAAATGTTTGAGGTGGAAAACGCTCCGTGGAAGGAAAACTTTCCCCATCGCGGAAGGAAAACCACAGCCCGGCTGAAACAGTTAATGATATTGAGGAGTTACTTGCAGTTAATCATATTGAGGAAGCGCTCCGACCAAACACCGATCACGAAACTGAACAACAAGTGAGCGAAAAGTGTACGGAGTCTGTTAGAGGAGCAAGAAAACATTTATGGAAATGATGTGTACATGTCCTATTCTGAACGGACAGACATTCTCTCTGCATTGTAGTTGAGAAAAAAAAATCTTTCTGTGTTGAAAAAGAATTCCGCTCAGAGCTTTTAAAAGGCAACAATTTGGCCTAACGACGTTCTATCAGTCTTAACTTTGGGATATAATCTGTACCGAAACCTGTATTTGTCTAATTGTGAGCCAGAAAACACTGATATATGAAATCACTGTTCATTGAAGTATTACTGTTGATTTCTAGGGCAATTAGAAACGCCAATAAAAACTCAGTCAAGCAAAGCAACCTTCCCTTAAAACAATCCTGCCAAAGTAGACAGAGCAAAAACGGAGCTCGAATTTTTATTTGATAAAATTTTTAATTGATAAAACTTTTTTTCATAAAATTCTGCTTACTGCAGCACCTTTTATTAGAATAATCAAGTGCCAATTGATTTAAATTTTTGCAAGGCAAGTGATAAAATTGCATCATGGACATAATCGATGCCTCTATTCTGGATCATTTCAGAGTACCCTGGAAAAACATTGACGTCAATGATGAACGGTGAGTCATCTTCAGCTATAATCAAGTCTACTCCATATAAGGACAGTTTGAAATGAATCGCCATGACATGCATCAGATTTCGAATTGTTTCGTCACTTACTGAGTCGCGAAGATACATGTTGAGATCTATATCATTCGGTTTGAGTGACTTCCATTCCGAAGTTACAAACATTTTGCACTGCTTCTCGTCCATAAAACTATTTACACTCGGACGCACGGCTACGTAAAAAACTTCCCCAATAACGAACACTTTCAAAAGTCCTTTGTGTTTGACCATTGGCTGAAACAGGTACTCTTCGAAATTTAAATCAGTAAAATCTTCTTTTTTGTAAACGATTTTCATATGATGGTCGGAGTCATTACCTCGTAAAATGTTAGGTTTGCAAATAAAAGGAAACTTCGAAGTATCGTCAGTGAGATCAAGTAATTCGTCAAGTTCACGCGAGCTTGTCAAAGTAAAAGACGGCATAACTAGAACAGGCTTTAAATCACTTGCTACTAGGTTTAAATTTTGAAAAGTATCTCTTCGGTTGAAAATCACCTTTTGATCCTTTCGCTCATCTAGCTCGATAATGCTAGGATACAATTCAAGCTGTTTCGATATAACTATGTCTTCCGGATCATTGTCTACGTTTTTGCGCTTGCTTACAACAATATCACACTTGAGCACATCAGTTAGCTTGTTTATTTTGATCGGTATAACAGTGGTTTTTTCGCCATCTACTTCTGTCGGCTTGGCCTCTATTTTATCTAACTGAAGCCTCTTCCATTTACCATCGCTAATCCAAAAACCAACACTGATGGTCTTATTGCAGTCCACCATCATATTCCGCACTGCAACAGCTTCGCCTTGCAATGATTTTTTTTTCAGATATGCAGGAAATTCGTAATTGATGCACTCACTAATAACTTGGTCTTTATCAACCGACACACTAAATCATAGCGTTCCAAGTGATCAAATCTTCATATTATTGCATCTAAATAATTTCAGCGTCAAATACAAGACATCTACCGAGTTTCGTGAGTAAGATGTCACACGTTCAACGCACCGCAGTCATCAAATAGTATAAAACAACTCGATCTAAAATCATTCAATACATCAGTTTTCCTACACTCCTCGATCTCTCAATCATCAGGTACAAGTCAAATTCCGCATTCTAAGATTTCGGAAATATTTTCCATAAGCACAATTGGAGAGTTTTTGCCCAATTGAATTTCGTTTGTTTGACTTACACAGATTAGTAGCTTAGTTTAAGCAAAAGAAAAATAAAAAAAAAAGAAAAATACACGAAGTCAAAGTTATCTGAATTATAAATTTCAGGAGTAATTGAAAACATAACAAGCAACTAAAATGAAAACTACATACAGCTAATATGTGGCAACCAGTGGCGTGCACAGAAATTTTTTAAGGAAGGGCAGGCAAGTTTTTCAAAAACAGGTTAAAAACGCATTTTTAGAAAAATTTTCAGGTTGGTTAGCAAAAAAAATGTATGTCGTAAAATTATATCAAAGGGAGAACCTTTGGAAAATTTTGCAGCTAGAATTGAAAATTGAGAGAGGGGCGGTCGCCCCCCGCGACACGCTACTCTTGGCAACTAAGCCGACAAAACATAAGCAGACAAATAATAAGCCGACAATTTTTTTGAAACGCAATATTTCCCGTTTGAAAAAAAAAACAGGTCCTGGTCAGATTCGACCCCAGAACCTTTGCCGTCCCAGGCGTATTCGTAACCTCCAGAGTAACTGTTCCTGAGACGATTGGAAATTTGAATTCATTATGAGCCTTGATACCAAGTGATTCTGTTGAGCAAGTTGTTAACCCGAAAAAAGTCTATATTCCGATACGATAATGTTTGCTAATCCCAAGCGTAATCAAGGTTAACCGAAGTATACATAATTAGCAGTTCGAATATAATGTTCAGTGTCAGTTGTTCCTTCAAATGGCTTTCTGCAAAGCATTTTTCGGCTAAACGCATCATTTGTACAACTTCAAGATTCAAGAGTCGTTAATCTTGGGAATAATACGTGTGAAAATTATCGAAATGAATTATTTCGAATGCAGAAAATACCTCCCTTTATACGACCGCATAGCTTTCTGAAAAGCTTATATGAGTTTATATGATTCTTTGTTCCAGTTTTCAACTATCTCTCTACTTCAAAAACATAAAAGGGGATTCGAAAGTAATAGGTTTAATCCAAGATCAGATGTGACCTTCCAAATTTTAAAACAACTTTAGTTTTCTAATATATATTTCTTCAAATATATCGCTGTATAGCTTTTATCAGCTTTGTGGGGCAAGCTTTCATTTTCGACTGTCTCAGATACAACCGGACGTTTGCAGAGAATCGGTAAACTAAACTTTGTCAAAGATTTCTATGATATGTTTTTTTTTTCAGCTGACATTGTCTTAGCTTTGCTGACATTTTATAAATTTAGCTACATTTTATAGCCAACAAAAACTAGAAAGGCGTCAATGAACTCAAAAAAATGAAAACAATGACCGAATTTCGAAAAAACTAAATCAGCCGGAAGCTCTTGGATTCTTAATAATAATTTACGATTGGCCCTTTTTCAATAAAACCAACCTCATTAAAACCCACTTTCGAAATTACATTTTTTCTAGGTTTTTCACGTTGTTTTTTTTCGGATCATTTGCACTTCTGCTATTCGAAAACTTAATTGTTTTCAGGAGAAAGAAAAATTTGTTCACGCCGTGCAAAAATTCGATCGTTTGCGGTTCAATTTTTCACACGCATTCAAATATTGTGAAAATGGATAGATCAATTAAAACTAAGAAATAACAAAACTGCTTGTATCAGGGCGGAGTCCTGAATGTTTCGAATGCCTTTCAAGGTCTATGAAGCAGTAATAACATGAAAAATTAAACACAAAAAAAATCATCCCCCACATGCCATATAAATAACAAAGTGATAGATTTCGCTCCTAGCAACACATCAATTAAGGCAAATAAGCTTCCTTCAACGAATTTGGAACGTTAATAGCTCGAAATATATCGCCCGTTAATTGTCCCAAATTAGCCAAAATGGTTATCTTGAAAACCCCATAACTTTACGAAAAATGATTTACGAAAAAAATCCCGTCAAAAATGGCTAGTTAAAGAGTCGAAATTTGTCTGAAGAAAAAAAAACACCGCGAGCACAAATATTCTGTTTCTTTCGTTACGAAAGTCGCAACAAAAATCAGAACAATTTTAAAACAGACTAGTGGTATAAACGATCTATATAAAGGATGGACAACTTTGTTTTCTTAGCCATTAAATGGGTTAATTGAACATGGTTCCGTGGCTTCTTAATCCGAATGCATATTTATAACTAAAGAACATTCAGAAAATTAGCAACTTTCTAAACATGGGTTAGCTTAAGCATTCCCGCATAAGTTTTGCTGAACCATTGTAAAGAACGCTCAAACATAAGAAGTTACGTGTCACGCGCATTTAACAATAGTACAGATCAAAACACAGAAATGAAAACATGGATAGTCTGTTACTGTGCAAGACCACCAAAAATTTTATGATTAATTCGGTAAGGAACAAGCATTATTTTCAAAATTCGAAGAAAGAACACATCTTCTGAACGCTCTTTGAATTTTAGATATTTGTTATGGCTGGCAATTATTCAATAAAACTAACCGAAAACTGGGTCAAAATGTATTTTTCCTGCTGGGAAACCGAAAAATGATTTTCATTTTGGAAACTAGAAGTCATTCACGTTTTTACCGGACCATTCGCACTTTTGTTATTCAAGCGCACTGTTATTTTTTAGCAACCTAAATTAAACGGAATTATTAAAGAAAGTCAAAATTCAAACCGCGAAAGATAAAAGTTAAGCGCTAACAAATTTCAAATTTTTTTGTTGTTGTTGAATTCTTCAACGTAACTGCGAGTCTTATCAAAATCTCGCACAAACTTTTCCTGTATCACCTGATGTATAAAATAACTCTTCAAAACAACGTTCCTACCTTTGCATGGTCCGGAAGTTACTTAGGCTGAAACTATACCGTAATTTTCTCTGTTTTTTTCTTGTAAAACCCGAACAGACCACAGGTAATGTACAGAGAACAAGATACTGCAGAATATGTGTGACACCGGAATGGGTGTGATTCAGGTGTGATCGTTTGTCGATAAAAATAGAGAAAAAAAAACGTAACAACCACAAATTATCGGGAAAAAAATACCTTGCACCACGTTCTTTTTTGGGACCATTTGCAATTGTGCTATTCGAGAACGTAGAAGTTTTCAGACAAAATTTGCTCAAGCTCAAATTTGATTGTTTGCGGTTCTCTTCACACGCATTCAAAAACTGTGAAGATGAACAGATCCATAAAAACCAAGATATATAGTGAGACACTGATACTTAAATAAAGCTTAGCTGAACAATGGGACACTCTTTCATTCTCTATCGTAGCCTCAATGACCATGGTTGGTTAAAACCATTCAATAGTGAAACTTTGCCAATAGACAGTAGTAGAAGTGTTTAATGAAAAAGACAACCGAAATATTTTCGAATAACTAGACAACAAGGAAATGCAGAATTTGTGTGACACCGGAATATGAGTGATTCAGGTGTAATCGTTTTTGTCAATAAAAGTTAGAAAAAAACAAGAAAAGCCCAAAGTATCGTAAAAAATTATTTGCTATTTAAATCATTCGAAACTGCACAGGGAGCTTTCGGAATGCTACGAATAAGCTGATTTATTGAAAAAAAGTCCGTTCTACGGAACTCACCCGACAAAATTTTCAGTTTGCAAAATAAAAGTTCTGCGCTAAAATCCAATTTCCCTGCTTTGTCTCAAGCTTGAGTAGTGCAGCAACGTGGAAGAAATCTGATTCTCCAAAAAAACAAACCGGGCTATGGGAAATATGCCGACAAAAATAAACAGACAGACCATAGACCGAAAAAGCAAAAATTATAGTTTGCAAAAATAAAAGCAAGTCTCCGCCGGATTCGAACAAGCTCAGGCCGTCTCTAGTAATGTTATCTAAAAGCCAGATGCGCCAGACTGTTGATTGAACTTGTACTCACCAAGAGGTACGTAAGCAAGGGTTATAACCAACATTGAAAGCAAAATTTGATTAAGCCGGATATTTATAAGCTAACATGCTCAAAATGTTGCAACAGAAAGGCTCATTGGTCAAATGAGTCCAGATGATCCCTGTGAACAAAGTTATGTACGGGAAAAGTATAGTACCCGATTACAACATAATTATGGACTTCTTTCCCTACCTCAAAAACATATGTGGAAAAAGAGTAGCCGGTTCCTGTTAAAAGTAGCCGAATAGGTTCCGACCCAAAAATCTAAACCACCTCAAGACATATTTACTCCCCAATTTCAGCGGTCGGAAGAACAACTTTAACTTCTTGCCGATGAAAACTAGACTATTACTCGATTCTTCCTTCTGTAAAAATAAGAGCGTAGCAATTATTTATTAACTTTCTGCACATCATCACTCAATTCCACAGAATATTTTTCAGGTAGCTATCAGATCTTTCAGGACTAAATTGCGAATATTAAAAGAAAAGCTGTCACAAAAACAACCTTTTCTGTGATAAGAGGTTTCTCTAAAGAAACTAACAGCAGCGTTCCCTCCCCTGTTTTCAACTTCATGCAAAACTAAATATTTCAAAGAGCACACACACACACATGAAAATTATAATTACAATGAGCTGCAGAGGCGCTCGGTAAACTAATATCTGAATTAAAAAATACACTGGAACATGAACATTTACGAATCCAATTAAATTGCGCGATTCAATCTGATAACTTCACTTACTTTTACTATATTGCTTCGAATTAAATCAGAAATTGAGATTTTTGACCCGAAAGTATCAGCTCATCAAGATTTCAAAACAAGGATTCTCTGTAGGTGCAACGTGTGCAAATCGATTTGCTTTTCAACAATATCGTATGTTTGTTCTTTCTGATATTAGATGAATCGCACATTCTAGAAACTTATTGCGTTCAAAAAACAGACGGACTCGGAATGGCGCGGCTTCGAAACTCTTTCGAAGCAGCGCCATTCCGAGTCCGTCTGTTTTTTGAATGCAATGAGTGCTATC